AAATTTTGAGTAAAACCCCTATTCAAACATCAACACCTCTTTAATTAAAGCTTTATATCTCATACATCAATATAACTAATAAATTGCCACATATTCATATCAAAATATAGATATATAAGATGTTCTTACCTCAAGAAAGATAGAGAAGGGTTAAAGACCTAAACTTCAACGATAACGAAAACGCGATCTAATCGGTTCCAAACGTAGCCATTGACGTGCTCTACCTTTTTCTCTCAACCTTTTTTCCCTCAAGGACTAGGGGTAGATTTCATCTCTAAGTAGATGAAACCCAAGCTTGAAGCTCCAAAAATGGAGGTATGGAAGAGAGAGAGAGAGAGAGAGAGAGAAGATGTGAGAAAAACTGAGAAAAATAGAGAGAAAATGCTTATATTTACAGTGGAGGGGTAAAATGGGTTGTAGGGCCCAAGAATATATGAAATATAAAGTAAAAAATCCCAAAAGTGTGGCCCAAAACATGGTTGAAATGTCTTGTATTTCTGCCAAGTGTCGACACCGAGATGAGGGGTGTCAACACTCGTGTTGAAGGGCATGAAGGTTTGAGCTCAACATAGACAGAGTGCCAACACTAGAGAACCCAGGTGTCAATACTAGAAAACATAAGGCTCAAGGGAAAAAGAAAGGGATGTAGGTGTCGACCCTAACATGCCCAGGTGTCGACACTTCCAAGTAGTGCACAACTGGGTCTTGTTCCAAATTAAATGGTGTCAACACTCGGAAGTAGTGGTGTCAACACTAGAAACTAGAATACCTCAATGAAGATCACAAAGATGCAGGAGTCAACCCCAGACTACCTAGGTGTCGATACCCAAAAGCATAATGGTGTAAAGAAGGGGAAGGAATGCAAGTGTCGACACTTAGAAGCTTAATGTCAACACCCATATCAAATTTTTAATGTTTGATATCACTTTTCTAACATATCAAAGCACAAGTTAACATTCTAATAAAGGTAGGGATCGAATTTCTCACTCACGAATTAACATGTATTGATATCAATATACACCAACCAAGGGGTTTAAATAACAAACAAAATGGAATTACACACGTCCCAAAGGCTTACAATCCACAAGTGATACAGCATTCCAGATTTCTTCAATTGTGAACTCTACTTCTAGCACATTTGCCACCATTTCAATATTACTTTCACAAACGATCCTAATAATTTTGGTCTAGAAGGCCAGTCCTCTAAAAAAAACTGTATAAAATATCCACCAACTCAATCTCTTCAACTCTAATACCATTCACTTCAATTGATCCACCATATTTGTACTTTTGTCTTTTATTAGAAATTATGTGAAAGGACCTGGTGTTTTTATCCCCATTTTGTGCCCAATTTAACATGGATTTTTGGAACTAGATCCAATCTTTCTTCTTCGTTAACTTCCAAGCTAGGTTTTTAGAGTACTTCTAGTGTACCGGTGTTAGGACTAGAAAATGAAGGTTATTTGTTGATTTCAACTACATCCTTGAGTGAAGGTTGTAATTTTATTGGGAGCCATTTTATTTCTTAGATCTCTGTGTCGCATTAACTTCTTTCGTGGGAGTGTCAAGATTGCGTTGGTTGTTGAGTGTTGTTTTTTTGCTAATTATGCAAAGTTCTTGAAACTAGTGATAGGTAGAGAAAATTTACAATTAGTCTGTGGGGTGTCACTACAAGAAAAAACACTTTTGGCGACCACCTATTTTTTTTGGTCGCAAATAGTCCACTTTCTGCGACTAAAATTTAACTTTTGGCGACCACAATTTTTTGATCACCGAAAATCACCTTTTGGCGACCAAAAAAAAAGTTGATAGCGAAAAGTATACCCATTGGCGACCAAAGGCTTTTTTGGTGGCGGAAGATCACCTTTTGGCGACCAAAAATAAAGTTGGTCACAGAAAGTATACTCTTTAGCGACAAAAAAAAAAAGTTGGTCGCGAAAAGTATACTATTGGCGACCAAAGGCTTTTTTGGTCGCGGAATATTACCCTTTGGCAACCACAAAAAAAAAGTCGGTTGCGGAAAGTATACTATTGGCGACCAAAAGTTTTTTTGGTCGCGGAAGATCACCGTTTGGCGACCAAAAAAAAATGTTGGTCGCGGAAAGAATACTATTGGCAACCAAAGGCTTTTTTGGTTGCGGAAGATTACCCTTTGGCGACCAAAAAAAAAAGTTGGTCCCGGAAAGAATACTATTTGCAACCAAAGGCTTTTTTGGTCGCGGAAGATTACCCTTTGGCGACCAAAAAAAAAAGGTTTGTCGCGGAAAGTATACTATTGACGACCAAAGGCTTTTTTGGTCGCGGAAGATTACCCTTTGGCGACCAAAAAAAAAAGGTTTGTCGCGGAAAGTATACTATTGACGACCAAAGGCTTTTTTGGTCGCGGAAGATTACCCTTTGGCGACCAAAAAAAAAAGGTTTGTCGCGGAAAGTATACTATTGACGACCAAAGGCTTTAAAAATGATACTACTGTAATTACATGCTATTTTTCTGTTTAGGCATTAAAAGTTTTATAAAATAATATATAACCAAATTTTTATGGGCTATATATATTTGTTGCCAAATATGAACAAGAAGCATGTTATTGGCAGAGTGGATTGGGTGCATGGTGCCTCCTTGGCCAGGAGTTCAAGTCCCAGGCAGCACAAAAGAATTATTTTTTTCGGGTCAAGGCGCTGACTTTTGGTGACCAACTTATCTTTGGTCGCTAAAAGTTTACTTTTGGCTAATATGAATTGGACTTTCCGCGACTAAAAAAGTTGGTCGCGAATGGTCACTAATATGAATTGGACTTTCCGCGACTAAAAAAGTTGGTCGCGAATGGTCACTTTTAACAACCAAAGGCTTTTTTGGTCGCAGAAAACTATCTGCGATGAGGCTTTAGCGATCAACTCGCGACCAACATATTTTGGTCGCGAAAAGGTTTTACCGACCAAATATGGTACTTTTCGCGACCAAAATGTTGGTCACGGAAAGTGTTTTTTCTTGTAGTGTGTTAGTCCCAATGTCTAATGTATCTCATACTTCTATGTTTCAAGAATACAAACTTGACCCTTCACCTGTGATTGATTGGATCGGCTTAGAGGTAGTTGAAGATGCCTCATATCCGGAGAGACCAATTTAATTTTAGATGCTCGAGAATAAGTATTGAGGGGGGAAAGACTGAACCGTTAGTGAAGGTGTTATGGAGACACCACAAGGTTGAGGAAGCGAAAGTCCACTCCAAGTATCCAGATTTGTTTGGGAACGCTTAGTTTGTTTGAAATTTTAGTATTCTCTAATGTCGTTTTTGAGAATTGAGCATTTATAATTGCTAACCACTTGCTATTATGGTTGCTATTGTTTACAAGGCATGAGAATTATTGTAAGATGATCGCAATTGTTATTAAATTTCATGCTTATGATAATTATGTTAGTTGTTGTTGATACTGTGGTTATTGCCCATCAAAATCATGATAGCTATTAGGGAATGTTGTTGGAACTACAGTCTACTACTGGGTTTTTCTATGTCACTATGTTGTTGTTGTTTTCGATTCGCTTTTAGCATTGTTATTGTTATTCTGAGTTTCACTATATCTTGAGAACATGGTTGTTTAGTTGTTATTATCTTGGGATTGTTGGTGAGAGGAGTTCTTAATTTTAGGGACGAAATTTCCTAAGGTGGAGAGGTTGTGATGTCCTGGGTATGTAACCCAATCAACTTTTTATTTGATTCTGTCTAAACATCTTACTTTCGACATCTTTTGATTTAATTTCGAGACCTTGTGGACCGTGTGATGTCACTGCACTTCGAAACCTTCCATGTTTTAGTCTTCTGAAATTTTTCCTAGTTGGAACCTTCGAGTTTCGGGCATAGTAACGGAACCGAGGAGTGTTTTTGCCTTAAACGTAGAAACGATAAACAAAATTGCATGTACAAGGGTAGAGATACACGTACGGAAAGAAAGCCGCACATGCGGAGGTGAGTGCTGCACGTGCGGGAAGGTGGGCAGAGGTTGGGGTTCGCTACTAAAATAAAAGCATATACGGAGGGCACGTGCGGGGGAGTTTAGTTCAGTCTAAAAGTCCATTTTCCCTCTCTTTTAAGTTGATTTTCTATCCCTTTCTCATCACCTTTTCCATCTCACTCTCTCTCTCTCTCTATATATATATATAATCTTTTCTCCTCCTCTCTACATTTGCTCTACCAACCCCACATTTTCTTTAATTTCTCTAAATCCATTGAGATTTTGACCATTGTTGTTAAGGTAATTTTGAATAGCTCATCAAGAGTTTCATCCTGTGCGGTGTAGATCGAGTTTTGGATCCTGTGTGGTGCAGATCGAGTTTTGGCACTATCAAATTTGGGTGTTCTCTTCTCTTCATCATTCTAGAGCTTGAGGTATGGATTTTATTTCAATTATATATATATATATATATATTAGCAAATCTATGGTTGTTTTGAAGATGTTTTGTATATATTGAGTTGTGGTTTGATTTATGAGTTTTCTATATGATTCAAAAAGGGTTTCTCTCAAATTTTCTCCAAATATTTCAATTGATGAACTATGAGAATGTGTCGGAAGTTTTATGAGCAAATTCTTTCAAAGTAAATGGGAAACCCTAATTTTTTTTTTGAAGGGGCGGGGGGGGTGTCACGACCCAAACCCGCCCCTATGGGTTTTTAGCATCGTAACCGGCCAATAATCCTAGGATTACCGAAGGCCTCTGAGACAGATTAACATAATATTAGGACTAGCAGAAGCAAATAACAATATACAACGTCCATTGAGCTGTGCAGACTTATATGAGAGAGAAAAATTTTAAAGTTTTTATATACATATATACACATTATCTTTAAGTCATCATATATATACAGATTAGACAAAAAGGGACTTACCCCTATTTACAAAATACACAAGACTTGTTCAACCAAACATGAAAACAAAACTTAAACTTTAAATCACATAGCGATAATCACTTGACATATCCGGAACCTCCACGGGAGGCACATAGGTTGGCTGACAAAAACAGATTCTCGACAAATGCCTCTAAGCCTGGTCACGCTCCTGATCACATACATACGTAAATAATACAATGAGCTTCAGCCCAGTGAATAATAACAGAGTAAAAAGTTTTAATTAATGAGTCCGTATAGATTCAGAATTCATAATTCAGTTTCATATCAAATTCATAATTTGTCCAGATCATGTACAGAAATCATAAGTCATGCGTAAGTATACGTGATACATCCATTAGCATTAACAGAGCAGATACAAAACAGATGCAGACACGTGAGGGTTACAAATAACCAGTTCCATAAAGGAACCTCCGGATCCGGGTAACAGAGAATACACACGCTGAGCCCCATGATGGAGCCTCCGGTACAGGTAACAGAGTGCAGACATATTAAGTTCCATGATAGAACCTCCGATACTGGGTAACAGCCAACAGATATCACATGATGCTAAGGATGTCACGAATACATATCAGAAATTGGACAATCATTCATTGTATAGAACATATCATTTCAGAAAAACAGATCTTAATTCATCGCACAGAAAATAAATAAAGTTGAACATAGCTTTACTATGTTATTACTCACAGATAGCCGCAGAAGCAAATCAGATGGACTGAACATATCAGATAAATCAGGTAGACAATGGTGCGTGACCTACACAAGCACATAACATATACACATTGAAATACAATATTACTCCCTTGATCAAACTTGACTTTTCTAGTCTTCTACTACGCTTATTCTTTCTTATTCAAATAAATCGGGTTCTTATTTCACATATTCTTTTATTACTAAGTCATTCCTTTCCAAATAGATTGATCTTTTACTTGGCTTCTTAAACAATTACCACTAGATCAATGATTCATTCTTTAACTAACTAATCTATGTTGATTGGTAGCTTATTAATCGTTATTGAGTCATAAATCATGTCTAGAATGCTTTGGAAAGAGATGAGAATAAAAATGTGAACTAAATGCAATTTTCCAAAATATGCTGAAAACAGGGTCTTCGCTCGAGCGCCACTTTGGTTGCTCGAGCGGACTGTAAAATCTGAAAAACTTCTGGGAGCTCAATTTTCACGCTCGAGCGAGACTTTACTCGCTCGAGCGGACAACGTAAATTCTGGAATTTTCATAATTGTAATTGAAGTTCAAATTGATATTTAAAGCCTCAAAACTTGTATTTTTGGTACAAAAATATGGAGAACCAATGCATAATTTAGTAAACACTCTCAATTAAAAATTATTTATTCGAAATCATGCTCCAATTGTCCAAATTTAGTTTTAACTCATTTCCTCCACATCAAGCCAAATTCCAAACCCAAAGTGATTAATCTCTAAATTAATCTCCATAAATTGAACATGACTCCAATTTCTCTTTTTCTTTAGTTACATAAAATTGATTCCAAGCTCTTCCTATTTTCCTTCAAAACATGAAATTAAGGTCATAAACTCCGTATAAAATCATTCACTTGTATGAATTTGACATCAAAATTACTAATTTTATATTCTTATAAATTTCCCAACTAATTTCCATAATCTTGAACTTAACTTAATTGTAACCTCAACTTAATTCATACTCATAGGTGTTCCAAAATATGATTAATTTAAATAATAAAATCTTAAATTACATTACTTGCATGGATTAAACAAATCTAATTATAAAATCAAAAACTTTATCTAACGTTAGGATTAATTCTAAATTTCCATAAATTTGATGTTCATAAAGCATTTCATTTTTCTCTTCAAAATGTGAACTTAAATGGTTCAATTTCTTCAAAATCCATGAAACTAATTTCATAACTTTCTCAATTCATGATGCATGTAAATTTACTTCTCATATAAACCAAGGTTTCCAAACCCAAGCTCAATTGAAGAATTATAATTATTTCCATATTGATTAACCTTAACCATGTTCATGAATTAATTCTTTAATTTCACCAAATCACATGCATGTAAAAAATAAGACTCAAATTCATATAACATATGCAAAATCAAACCCAAAATAATTAATTTCTAAGTTGATTTCCATAAATTTGAACGTAATTCCATTGCTTGGATTAAATCTTCAATACATCATTGGTACATGTAATTTTTATAGCACAATTCAAGAATGATTCTCAAAATTAAACTCAAACTTAACAAATTTAAAGAATCATAACTCATAATCTTTAAGCTAACTATTTTAACATGCAGAACCCAATTTTCATCAATTTATATAATTGATCCTCAAATCTTCATTTTTAATCCTCTCAAAATTCATCTTAAATCAATTTATGTCTAGATTATTTAAACAATACTAAGAAGAGGATGAAATTTCTTACTTGAAGATGAATTTTCCACAATTTTAAGCTTGAATCTTGGTATTCCACAAGGCTTCCTTCTTTTCCCTTTTTTTTTTTTCTCTCTCCTTCCTCCCGGTTTCCCCCTCTCAGCCGAGCTCTCTCTTCCCTTCTCTTTTCTAACTCTGCTTCCAGCAGAGTGAAAGGCATCATTTTGATTTCAATTGCCATCTCTTATTATTTTATTTTATTTTTTCATTAGTGGGACACTTGTCCATGTAATATGAACCCATGTTTCACTAGTTTAGCACACTAATCACACCTTAGTTTAATTAAACATCACTCAGTCTTGATTAATCCTAGATTTCCATAAATTTGAACCTAATTCCATTGCATGGATTAAATCTTCAATACACCATTGCTGTATGTAATTTTTATAACACAATTCAAGAATGATTCTCAAAATTAAACTCAAACTTAACAAATTTAAAGAATCATAACTCATAATCTTTAAGCTAACTATTTTCACATGAAAAACCCAATTTCCATCAATTTATATAATTGATCCTCAAATCTTCATTTTTAATCCTCTCAAAATTCATCTTAAATCAATTTATGTCTAGATTATTTAAACAATACTAAGAAGAGGATGAAATTTCTTACTTGAATATGAATTTTCCACAATTTTAAGCTTGAATCTTGGTATTCCACAAGGCTTCCTTCTTTTCCCCTTTTTTTTCTCTCCTTCCTCCCGATATCTCCCTCTCAGCCGAGCTCTCTCTTCCTGTCTCTTTTCTAACTCTGCTTCCAGCAGAGTGAAAGGCACCATTTTGATTTCAATTGCCATCTCTTATTATTATTTTTTTATTCATTAGTGGGACACTTGTCCATGTAATATGAACCCATGTTTCATTAGTTTAGCACACTAATCACACTTTAGTTTAATTAAACATTACTTAGTCTTGATTAATCATAATTAGCACATAAGTTAATTAATCATAACTAATTACAATTTCCTACATGATTTAATTAGTCTAATTTGACTTCCATAAGGCCCAATTAATTATATTTAAATTTATCATTCTGAATCAGATTTTTAATCAACTCCCAAAAGACTCTAAATATTAAATTAAACTTATTTTCATCCTCAATTTTGGTTTCTTAAATCATTTAAACCTTCAATTTCTGATTAGACTCAAAATATCGCCATTAAATTACATATTCAAATTAGACTCTACATAAATGAATTTAATTCATAATAATCACAATTTTCAATCTTCGTAATTTAATTAGATTAATTAACTCCAATTAGGATCTAATTAATCGAACCTCAATTTTACTAAACTGAATCGGATATTTAATTAAACTCCCATATAGTCCGATACTTGAAATTAAACTAAATCAACTCATAAATTTTACCTCCTTAAGCCATTTGGACATTCAATTTCTAATTCCAAAATAAATCTTTAATAGAATCACATACGAGTCAAATTCAACAATTCTCATAAACCCCAAATCAAATTATAATACTCGGCAATTAAATTTCAAATCCTCTTAATTAATTAAGTACTAATCATTATACGTGGTGGGGTCGTTACAGGGGAGGGGGAAGCTAGACTTGAGAAGGTTGATGAAAATATTTTATTGAGGAAGCATATGAGTTATGTGATAGTCGGAAGTTCTATTTGCGTAGAAATCTTTCCAAAATGGAAAATCCTAACCTTTGTGAAATCCTTAGATTTTATTTTTTATTTTTTGAAATTTGGGAAAAAGTTGAGATAATGTAAAATCATGAATTGTAGAGATTTTTTTGTTGGGAATTGATAAAGAAATTTGGCATGCCCATTGTTATTGTTGAGCATTCATGAAACGGGAAGTTGTTGAGAAATTGATAAGATTAGCATGTTGATACGCTAGTGTTGAGATAATGGGAATGATGTTATGTATTTTAATCCATGGATTATACATATTATGCATCTATATATGTTGGATAGAAATGTTATATTTAATAGAAATTGAGGATTGTGTTGTTGAGATTGGGACTTGTTGAGAATTGTGAAAAAGTTATAATTGTTTTGATAAATTGCATTATCATTTCATTTCATCCTCATTATTTTTTGAATTGGCATTCATTGAAATTACATTTTGAAAAAGGAAAGAGAATTGTTTTGAGAAACAAATTTTGTTTTGAATTGTTTTGGGATAAATACATTGGTAAGTTCAGATAGGAGATGTAGTGTTGAATTAAGTTGGCTTGAGGTCTATGGTGAAAGACCAAAAACAAATGCAAAGTAGGGGCCTATGCTTCCCGGTTAAGAGCCAGTAAAATGGTTTTGGTAGTGCTTTAAGAGCCTACCTGCAGATGCTAGCTTAGGGATTACCTGAGTCGTATTTGCCACCCCCAAATGAAATATATTTGTATATTGAATTCATTTGATTGATTATGTTTTTGAAAGAGCATCATGCATGGGATTTTCAAATGAGAAAAACTTATTTCTGAGCATGGCATGATATAGCATGTGCATCCATATTTTGAGATTGTTTAAAATATATATATACTTTGTTAAGATTTCTCTATTGTGCTTAATGGTCACCCCTAGTGGAACCACTTACAGGAAAAAGTGTTGTGATTCCTCCGAAGTAATGGCGTGGAAGACTTTGGAGCATGAGACTCATTTACTTGTATTTTGTTTGTCAAGCCAAGGGCTAACCTGTGTGGGTTAAGATAACCGTTATTTAGGCATTATTATTGTTTAGTTTCTTTCTTGCTGTCAGTACATGTCATGGATTCTTGGGAAATTCTATTTCCACACTTTTTGTCTCTATGTACACTAGGGATGGGTGCGGGTCGGTTGCGGCCACAGAACCTCCAATCCGCCATCCGTCTGCCAGCTTGGCGGATTGGAGAAAATCAATCTGCATCCATCCGTCAATCCAGCAGATATGAATTGAGCGGATTGGCGGTTTGGCGAATGTATGCGAATCGGTTTGGCAGTTTAAAATTTTATAAATTTTCAACATAATTCAACTTGTATACTTTCTCAAAAAAAAAAGTATATTATAGTCAATGACTTAAAAAAGTATTACAATCACTGTATGCCTCATCCAAAGAAAGAAAATTTGAAACTTTAGAATATTATAATCATTGCATGTCTCATCCACATGGATTTAGTGATGCTACTGCGCGGATTGCGCAGCAGCAACTGTTGTGCATCAAAATGGGCTCATTTTGATAATCCGAACCGTTCACATTTTAAAATACATCAAGTAGAACATGCCTGCAAAAAATCAAGTTAATAGGATATCGTTTACTCATTCATCTACTCACATATGTATCTATAAAAATAAATAATAATTGTAAATTAAAGTATTAAAATGAATACAAAAGTGAGTGGATGAATAGGTAAACGATGTCCGATTAATTTAATTTTTTGCAGGCATGTTCTACTTGATGTTTTCTAAAATGTGAACGGTTCGAATTATCAAAATAAACCCTGAAATGGGCCCATTTTGACGCACAACAATTGCTGCTACGCAATCCGCGCAGCAGCATCACTAAATCTCATCCACATAAAGTATTACAATCTGTGATTCTTAAAATATAAAAATAATTCAAATTACCAAAACCATGAATAAAGCAGTAATAGAGATTGTATGCCTTCATATTGTTACATCTATATCTGTTTTTGAAAATAAAAATCAACCAACATATATCATATTTTCTATTTATTATTTTTAGAGTTAAATTTAAAAACCAAAAAATATAGACAAATTATACATTAATTTTTTTTAATTCAAAAAATATATTCAAGTTGAAAATTCTTTTTCAACAGAATATATTTAATAGAATATTTAAACTATTTGTCAATTGAAAATATAAGCAGAATATCTAAACAAATTGAAAATATAAAATCTTATAAATTACTAGGGATGCTCGCGGTTTGACGGTTTGGTTGTGACCAAAGAAACCTCAAATCCGTCATCCGTTCACAACTAAACGGATTGAAAAAAATCAATCCGCAACCATCCACTCGTTATCACGTTTAAAATTTTATAAATTTTCAACATAATTCAACTTGTATACTTCTTCAAAAAAAAAGAAAAAAAAAAGAAAGTATTACAGTTAATGACTTAAAAAAATATTACAATCACTGCATGCCTCATCCAAAGCAAGAAAGTTTGAAACTTTAGAATATCACAATCACTGCATGCCCCATCCACATACTACAATCATAGCATGCCTCATCCACATAAAGTATTACAATCTGTGGTTCTTAAAATATAAAAACAATTCAAATCACCAAAATCATGAACATAACAGTAGTAGAGATTGTATGTCTCTGTATTGTTACATTTATATCTGTTTTTTAAAACAAAAACCAACCAACATATATCATATTTTCTATTTATTATTTTTAGAGATAGATTTAAAAACCAAAAAATATAAATAAATAATACGTTTATTTTTTCCAATTCAAAAAAGATATTCAAGTTGAATTTTTTTTTCAACAGAATATTTAAACTCTTTTTTAATTGAAAACATAAAGTCTTATAAATTATTAGGGGTGTTCGCAGTTTGGCGGTTCGGTTGCGGCCAAAGGAATCTCAAATCCGCCATCCGTCCGCCAGATTGGCGGATTGGAGAAAATCAATCCACAACCGTCCGCTCGTCATCACGCATCCGTCCAAAATACGGCGGATCGGTTTGGTTCGGTTGGTTTTGGCGGATTGATATATCCGCTGCTCACCCCTAATGTACACACTAAATGAAAAAAAAAAAATTTAATGACAATTTTACCATGAAGCACAATAACCATAATGGACATCAACACACATTACAAATTAAATTCAAATTTTCTCTGTACACATTTTTTTTTAAAAAAAATAATAATTCCCAATGCACATCTTTTGAAAAAAAAAACAAAAACAAAAACTTTTAGTTTCACAATTGTTTTTCACTTCCTCTATTGTTCTCCATTGCTTACTACACTCCATTGTTACACTTCATCCATTGCTTGCATAAACTACTTTGATATCAAGTATCGAAAAATTGTAAAACATTCGAAACTACAGAATTGAATCAATTAAAAAAATTCAAAAATTAAGTATCGAAAATTTATAAATAATTTTGAACTACATAATTGAAAATGTATAATAATTTTGGAAGTAAACAACTGAAAAAGACTATTTTGTTCAGAAAACCAGTATCGAATGAGCAAAACTTATTTCATTCGGGAAAAAATTGACCTATTTTATTTGCAATTTCGAAGATTTTTCTTTTCTCCTCCCAACAGAACTCCTAAGTTTATAAGATTCTATGCTTTCCATTCATTATTTTTGCTTCCGATTTTCTGCAATTTTTTAGGGTTACTTCTCGTTTTTGAATATTTTTTTGATTGATCTCTCAGTTCCTTCAGGTTTCAATGGCTACCAACAACGCCCTCTGCCTAGAAAAAGAACAGGTACTTCATACTTATACTGACACTATATATGTATGCTTATGAGATAGACAAAACCATTAACTAGAAAATATTACTTTTTTGATGATTTTATGTGGATATTTGGATTGGCAGAGATAGAAATGGAGTATAGGGTAGGTTTGTTTAACAAGTGGGTGTATCAATCTACTATGTGATTTGATTAGAAATAGCTCTTGTTTCTTGGAAGGGTCTTCAATGGAGTTATGGTTTGCTGCTATGGGTAGGTATGTGGAAAAGTTGCGTCTATGAAGGGTTTGAAGCTGTGGAGAATCTATTTAGATGGTGTGTGTACAAGATGTGAGTTAGGATTACAATTGG